ACTTTTCCATAACGACGTGTCAATTTACTAGACACAAGCTAGAAGGTAATGGTACCTCTGCCAATTTACTAGACACCAACTGGAAGGTAATGGTACTGCTGCCAAGTTTTTCAGACGCTAGCTAGAAAGTACTAGTACCTTTTATTCTAAGCGCAACCAATTCTCTAAGCTCTAGGTAAAAGGTAATGGTACCTCTCATTCTCAGCGCGTGAACATTTCCAACCATCTCAACATACTAGAATGCATAAAAACACAAGTGTTCTACATACACAATATTATTCAACACAACAATGCCAACCTCCACCGATGACCAAGGACAAAACCTCTAAGCATATGTATTAAATACACGTAAGACAAGAATCCAATTCTCACGAGACCTTAGTCCAATAACAATAATAGTATGTAAAGGTTTCAAAATTTGATCTCAAGTTCATTATTAATTTACCAAGGGTTATGATTTCATTTTCTTTCCAAAACCCAATTTTCCTTATTTTCCAATCCACACTACTCCAATCATTTTCTAAAAATTCATTCTCTTCATTTAATTAAAAACCACATCCTTGATGCCAAAGTCACATCCCAACCCCACTCAACATGATTAATCCAAACAATTTCAATACAATGGTTACTTCTCCCTTTTAGATATTAACACAATTACACAATCCATATTACCACGATACAAGAGATTATTCAACTTTCTCCCTTTTAAATCCATTAAGTCAATAATATTAAATTAGGACTTTCCTCCCTCTCAACATAAACATGTTAAACTATTTCCCAATTAACCCAAATAACAACCAACTTAACAGCTTCAATCACAAATATCAAACTCTAGATCCATTTTCATGACTTTCAAAGAAATCCATAATGAATGTGGTTTTTTTTATGCAATAAAATCTATCACATGTCTATTTATTGAAAAGGAACAAAGAAATCCCTACCTCTTGAAGCAAAAAGGAGACAACCCAAAAATCACTGATGACAAAATCACAAACTACTTGGATAAAAAAGAAGCTGTTGATGAGATCTACAATCTTTCTCAAAGGACCAAGGTGAAAAGATAGCTCTAGGTGAGTAGATCTAAAGATCTAAGTGAAAAAAGTTGAGTTTAGAAAGGGATAAGAGAGACTCACGATGTTGAAATAAAAAAGAGAAAGAGAGAGAAGAGAAAATAATGAGAAAAGTGTGTTTGGAGCCTATTTATAATAGTAGAATAATAGCCCCAAAGTCAATAAAAAGAATAAGTGAAAACCCCCAAAAAGGAAGGCCCAAATCGTACTAAAAAATCTAAAATTTACTCACAGGAGTTGACCCTCAAGACAGTGGTGCCGACCCTCAAGAAGAAAATGATGAGACACTAATGTGTGCAGCAAACAAGGGTTGACCCTAGGAACTAGTGATGTCGACCCTACAGTTCAGTAGCAACACCAGAATACAATAGCAAACAATGGTCGACCCTGGGACTTGTGGTGTCGACCCTATAAACCAACAGAGACACTAAGATTAAGGTAGCAAGGTGGTGTTAACCCCCAGAAAGACTAGTGTTGACACTAAAATAAATTTTCCAAGTTCCAAAGAAATTTTTGACGAAAACAAGTGCGAACGAACAATCTCAACAAATCTAAATCAAATTGTACTTCTCCAAACCAAGATACAACAACTTCAAAGACTCCCAAAATGAAATTAAAGGAATTAAATACACTCTCTAATAATTTAAAGGACACAAGTGTTGCAGTCGTTCTGACCTCCTCATTTCCTAGAGTAGATCAAAGATCAGGATAAATTGAGACGACAACGATAGCTGAGATTGACAATCGATTTGACCTTCTCACGGCGACTGATCAACTTCATTGATCTGACATTCTTCTCATGGCGACAGTTTTTGTCCTCACCACCACTCTCCTCCGATTATCACCAGAGTCAGAAGCTGTGAAAATTCGTTTCAGGTGACCGTTTGAGCGAAGATGAGGTGTCCCTAGTAGTTTGGTTTGCAAATAGAGGGACCACTCAAAGCGAACAAATGATCACTCGAGCGAAGATAAGGGGGTTTCTAGTATCTCGTTTTGTAGGCAAAGATACTGAAAGGTTTCATTGACCGCTCAAGTGGTGAAAAGATTGCTCAAGCAGTCTGCGCGATATCAGCCACTTAAAAAATGACTTTTAGATCATTTTCTTTACTTTTTCTTTTCTCTCTAGCTCTGAAAGCTCTAGCTATTTCTCTCTAGAAATCTCTCGTTACACTAAGATTCAACTTAAAAGCTCTTGCAAAAAGTGAAGTTCACTTGGGGATCTTGGATTCTACAAATTGGACTTAGATTTTACAAAGAGCTATTCAAAAACATAGCTTCTTTGTCTTGATTCTTGAGGAAGGACTACTTTTAACCTTGTATCTCTTTGATTTGAAGATGATTATGTGGTGTTTCCTTGACATTGATGAGTTAATGAATGTTTAAGTTTATAAATTGAAGTTTTCTTACCAAAAAAAAAAATAGTACCTTTCCTACAATTTTCTTAAGATTACAAGTTTTAGCCATGGATTATGGAAGTTTTTAATGAAAATTAATATTATATATGCTTGAGGGACAAAAGCCCCAAATCTTGTGAAAGCCCTAATTTTTTGAAAATTTAGAAATGATGTAATAAAAATGAAATGGACCCTTAGTTCTTTAAATTGATGATTGGCTCATGATACCAAAGTGGTATTTGAATGGAGAATTGTGAATTTGGAATGTTCTTGAGATGTTGGATATTGTCACATTATTTGCCAAATTTGCTTGGACGATGAAAGATTAATTTTTCTCTAACGAATGTATGAATACTTGGAAACTTCTGAAAGATTATTAAGGGGGCAGTAAATAGCTTGTAAGTTTGGGTAGAGAGTCGGTTTTGGAAAAGTGTTATGTATGGTTGGTGCCCGCACAAGGAAGTCTAGGTGTCCAATTGTCCTGTCTTGAGCTTATCACCGAACGAATGTAGGGAAATGTTTTTGGGTGTCCATTGGTCCTGCCGTATTGTAGTCGGTAAAAGTGAAAAAAACAGATGATTTTGAGCGTGTATTTCCCGTCGTATTAATAGTCAACACATGTGGAGATATTTTTTGATGTAAACCTATGTATATGTATGTATTGAGACTCTCTTTAGGGACTTCATGGCGTATTTACCCCCCCAGTGTTGAATTTATCAAATTTGTAGAAAATGTGAATTCTTGCTTTCTCATTTAAAGTAATATTATAAGTTAAATTAAATACAGTTTGGCGGTGGCTAGGGTTTAGATCAGAAAGAGAGAAGAGAGCGAGAGAGAGAGAGAGAGAGAGAGAGAGAGAGTGAGGGTGATAGGGGGACATCGTTGCGAGAGAAACGAGTGGTGAGTCAAACCAGTGTCGGAAGCGGCGGCAGAGAGGTAGCGTAGATGGTGGTAGCTAGGGTTTAGATCGGGAAAAGAAAGAGAGAGAGAGAGAGAGAGAGAGGATGACAGTTTTGTTTTGAAAAATGTAGAGTTTGTTTGGTATATATATACATGGGTAGTTTGGTCATTTTGACAAAATTTGTTTTTATGAATAATATATTTTAGAGTGTAAACCTGTGAGCAATGAAATTTAAAATCAAATTTATGAACCGAAATTTAATAAAAATAAATAAAAATTCATTTAAAAATAATTTTTAAAAATCTAAATCAAACACAGCCTTAATAAAATTAGTGTAAGAGCATCTTCAACCATGCTCTATATCTCCAAATTTGAAGCATCCTCTCTCTATTCTCAGCTCCAACCCATCCTCTATATCTTTCTCTATTTGGGAGGATGGATGTTTTATCCTTCAAATATAGAGGAAGTATGAAAAATGAAGGATGATCTCTCTAACACTATTCATATTTTTTAAATACCAATTTTGTCCTCAAGCCCTTTTGCTTTTAAATTTATATACCAATTATATCCTTTTGTATTTTTTGTTATATGTTATAAAATACAAATAACTTTTAATATGTACATCTAAATTTTATAAATTTGGTATCATTAAAAATATTAAAATTATATCTTTAAAATGAGTCTAATTTTAAAAATATTTAACAAAAAATTAAAAATTAAATATTATTAATGTTGCAAAATTAAATAATAGATGGTAAGGAAAATAGATGGAGGGAAAATTGATGGTTAATTTTTGAGGGAAATATTTAGAGAAGAAAATGAAGATTTGTGATTGGAGTTTAAATGAATAGTGACATACTTTATATTTACTTTTTGAATAAAAAAAATTATTTTCATCCTCTTGGTGAGAGGATTGGGTGAGCATCTCCAACCATGCTCTATATCTTCAAATTTGAAGCATCCTCCCTCTATTCTCATCTCCAACCCATCCTCCATATCCTTCTCCATTTCGGAGGATAGATGTTTCATCCTTCAAATATAGAGGGAGTATGAAAAATGAAGGATGATCTCTATAACACTATTCATATTTTTTAAATACCAATTTTGTCCTCAAGCATTTTTGCTTTTAAATTTATATACTAATTATATCCTTTTGTATTTTTTGTTATATGTTATAAAATACAAATAACTTTTAATATGTACATCTAAATTTTATAAATTTGGTATCATTAAAAAATTAAATTATATCTTTAAAATGAGTCTAATATTAAATATATATTAACAAAAAAATTAAAAATTAAATATTATTAATGTTGCAAAATTTATTAGCTCCTGTACAATCCGAATTAATCACTACTATTTATACTTCACATTTTGTCAAAGCCTATGTCCAGCATCAATCTTTATTAACTTCTCCTACTAGCCATTCTTCTTAACTTCTATCAAAGTTTATGTCCATTATCCTTATTAACTTCTCCCACCAACTGGTAGATGAAAAGTATCACCATTTTAAATGTTGAATTCAGGTTATTAACATAAGAAATAGTCTATATATACAGATATATTTTCTTCTAAAATCACAGTTCTTTTCCTATCAAAGCTACAATCATCTTTCCATAGAAACTTTTTATAGAAATGTCTTCAAGTGTGGAATTGGGTGGAAAGTCAGTTCAACGTGGTCGAGCATTCTTAATGGAAGAGGATAAAAATCTATGTAATGCATGGCTTGAAATTTCTCAAGATCCTGTAAGGGGTACTAATCAAAAAATGAGAAGTTATGGAAGCGTATTAGTGCCAAGTATCGTGAGCTCTTGCCAAACTACAACACTGGCTCTCGAACAACAAAATCCCTCCAATATTGCATGGCTATAATAATGAAGGCCATTAACAAGTTCCGGGCATGTATTTGATCAGTTGAACGCCTTAATCCCAGTAGTGCTTTTGAGATAGATTTTGTAAGGCTTCTTACACAATTTTGTCATGTATTATGTGTATAAGTTAATTTTATCTAACATAAGTTGTTACAAAATATGAGCATGTTCATACTATATATATCTTACAAAATGTTGTTATTACTATAAATATTTTATTTTATTTTAATTCTCATTTTGCAGATGGATCAGGCCAAAATCCTATTTGCACAACATCCTGAAAAGAGGAAAGGATTCCAATATGATCATGTATGGCCCATTCTTAAGGGAGCTGAGAAATGGCTTGACAATACTCCCAAAAAAAATCCCCAACAAGGGTATGATTACTTTGAAGGATTTCAAAATGGATCTCCTATATCTGTATCCCTAGTAACACCATCTTCCATTGATTTGAATACAAATGAAAAGACTGTAGCAGAGGTCGACCATCACGTCAATTCATCGAGTCATCCTATAAAGAGGAAGAAAGAGAAGTTGAGAATGATGCAAATAGCTAATAAGAGTCATCTCCTTGAATCCATTGTTGAAGGAAACCAAGAAATCATGGTGAATTTAAAATGAAGGCAAAAGCAAAGAGAAGAGCGATTTGCTAAAATGGAAAATGATTCTGCAACGCGTGTCCAACTCATGATGATATCATGTTATGCATTATGATGCACGAAGACATGATATCATGTAACACACTTATTCCAAAAACAAGATGGTACCTTGACTATAGCAAATCGTGATTAAAGTACTCCAAATGCTCGTTCAACGTCTTTTCGAAATGCTTTTTGCATCATTGCAAAGTGTTGTTTCTTCGGATCTTGGGGTTTAGAAATAGTTTGTACTAGAGTTGCTCACTTCGGGTATATACCATCTACTAGATAAAAGCCAACATTAAACTTTATGCCATGGATGGTATAATGAGCAGGAAGACCTATACCTTGGGTGAGATTCGCAAACAAATTAGATGATTGCAAGACATTGATGTTGTTGTTGGAGCCCAGTAAGCCAAAATATGCATGCTAAATCCATAGGTCATGAGATGCCACTGCCTCAAGAATGATAGTTGGGGATCTACCATGTCCAGAGCATTATCCTACCTAAGCTGTTAGGCAATTATTCCAAGATCCATGCATGCAATCAAGGCTCTCAAGCATCCCTAGGAAGCTCCATTCTTCACTTTTTTTTAACAAACTTGCAATGTCATTGGAATTAGGTGATCTGAGGTTTTTTTTTTTCAAATATCTTAACAATTGCCCGACAAAACTTTTTAGCACATAGAATGGCAGTAGACTCACCAATTCGTATATATTCATCCATAGAATCAGACGCCGTTCCATATGCCAGCATTCGAAATGCACTTGTTACTTTTGCAAAGTAGACAATCCAAGTCTACCAAGACCATCCTTCTTCTGCACAAAGAAATCTCGTGAGCTTTCACGACATCAACAATCTATAAATATAAACTTCTACGCATTCGAAATCTTCTGTGAAATAAATTTTCCTCATAGGTGGGGTTTTCTGAGAAGTTGTCATTTCACAATTGAGCATAACCTTCTTCCTTTTTACGATCTCTGATTATATGTCAATGTACTGAACCTTTACGTACCAATTGATCATTTTCTTCAAGATATTGAGCTATGATAATGTTGTTGAAGGCATATAAGTAAAGTAATATATCTTTTTCATCTTTCCATGTTGCTATTTATTCTTCAGAATTAGGGAATGATGGTAAATAAATATGCTCTGCATCTATTTCTTCATGAATATACTCAACATCCATTTCTTCTTCATAATTACGCCCTGCATTCATTTTTTCATTAACATGCTCTGCATCCATTTCTTCTTCAAAAGCTCTGCAGTCATTTCCTTTGTTGTATGAGAGTTTGGTTTTTCTATAAAATAATATATGGTAAGGAAAATAGATTGAGGGAAATTAATGATTAATTTTTTAGGAAATATTTAGAGAAGAAAATAAAAATTTATGGTTGGAGTTTGAATGAATAGTAGCATATTCTATATTTACTTTTTGAATAATTTTTTTATTTTTATTTTTATTTTCATCCTCTTAGTGAGAGGATTGGGTTGGAAATACTCTAAGACCAAATTGGACATTTTTAGAATTATCATAAGAATTATGCTAAAACTCTAAATAATCTATCAAATCTTTCACATAAATGCGAAATCACACATATATAAATATGAAAAATGATTTAAACCTCTAAAAAAAGAGTTTTAATGGAACTTTAATTTGTCTTTTTTTTTTCTTTTTTTATCTTTTTCTTCACTATTTTTTTTTTAATGAACAATTCATTAGAACTGTCCGGTAAGAGCTCTAATTAAACCTTTGTAACAGCTCCGTATAAATATATATAGATCTAACACTCGTACAAAAAAAATTGATAAAAAATTTAACACATTATTTGGATCTGCATTTTTCGTATCATAAATGTTTGTTTGGGATAAAGACACGACTAGCCACCATATCTGACAACACACGCTGAAATACGTGTACCATTCACTATTGGCTGAAAACCACACGCCACTGTTACCGACTAACTCACACCCCCAAAAAACAAAAAAGTAGGAGAGGGCAGCGCGAAACAAAGATTAACACGATCGAATGGCCGAACGTCTCTCTCTCACTTCCGCATCTTCTTCTTCTTCTTCTTCGATGGCTGCTCTTAGCGCCGCCTCTCGCCTCCTCCCCTCCGCCACGAAAGCCGCCAGACTTTCTCTATCTACTCCCTCTCCCTCTCTCTCACCCTGTTCTTCCCTCAAATGCCTCCGATCATCTCGTCTTCTCTCTCCTCATCTCTTCCTTCGCCAGGTTCTCTCACTCTCTCTCTCTCTACATATGTATTATTGCTTTTGTTTCTTTCTCTCTCTCTCTCTATGCTATTTTTGAAGTGTTTGTTGATTTGAATTTCAGAGAAGGTCGGCGGTTCATGTGGCTGCTAGCAGTTTCGGAACAGTTGCGTCTCCGAAATGCTTTGCGTCCGATCCAGATCAACTGAAAAGTGCCAGAGAAGATATCAAGGAGCTTCTCAATACTAAGTTCTGCCATCCGATTCTGGTAATTTCTCTCATATGCTCTCATCTCAATGCAACTATCTCTGTCTTTTGCACATTTCTATATAATCAGCCAAATGTGTTTGGTGACAAGTCCCGCAAAATATTTGTATGCTTGTAATTTCAGTGTTTTTGACATTTTCTGAATCGTATCTTGCTTGGATAGAGAATTACACGTCAGTAGTAGCTTCGTATTGTTATTTTTTTGCCTCTTCAGCCTCTATTGTTTGCCATAGAAAGCATAGGAAAGAAATTAAGTGAAATGAAACTTTTGTTTTGTCTTTGTCTTCATTCATGAAAATGAAATCATTTTAATAGAGCCTGCTAGTTGTGTAACGCACTTTATTATCCTTTCTATTTCATGTAATCAAATAGAGACCAAACAATAAGTAGAGGCAGGGAATGACTATTTATCTGTATTGCGGTGTTGATAGTCACAGATTGGGTCGAGTGCATACCTCATAATAGGTGTTTTAGAGGATATTTTGGGGCTATCAAGGATAATTTGTAATGTTTTGTGTCAAGCTGAGAGCAGAGGTTGTTTACAAGACAGGAAACGCGAGTGTTATCTTTTATCATTATTGAGCAAAGTTGTTAGGCATCTAGATTTCTTCTCTTTAATGACACGTCATGCACTTTTCTTCATCTGGAATGATGCTTACAACCGTCAATATAGGAAATTAACCAGCTGTCCGTTAGATCAAGGTTGGAAGATTTCCTTTTGATTTGCCCTAGTGAAATTTTCTCAGTGTTTGCTATAATTGTTGGTTCTCGCTGGTCACGTCAATGTTAACTTTACCTTCACATGAGGTATTTTACTTGAAATTTATGTTGCATTATTCACTTGACAGGAAGGATTTAATATATGCATGTTTGTCCATTTATTCGTTGTTTTTAAATCTAGTGCACCCTCGTACTTTGATTATATTTAAACATCTTGTGGCAATAATCTTTTGAATTGTTATAGGGTAGATATGTATATGTTTTGTTATCGTTTTCAAGCATTTTTTCATTCACCCAATATTTTATCTGTTTTCAAACACTTTATCTATTAGTCATACACCATGTTTACTTCTTAGTCCTTGTTGCCTAGTCTAGGATCTTCTATACAATTATTTTTTGCATCTTTCAAAGTTAGGTTATTAATTTTTTTTCCCAGCAAGTAAAATTATATTATCATATAAACTAGTTATGTATATAATTTCTTTTTCAAAGTTATTGTGGATATCTTTCTTTGCTGATATTTAATATGGAGACAAAACAGATTTCATAAATATTGTTAAGATGTATTGTGAATATTTTCATCGATGACAGGTGCGTCTAGGATGGCATGATGCAGGTACTTATAACAAGAACATTGAGGAATGGCCACAAAGAGGTGGAGCTGATGGAAGTCTAAGGTTTGAAATTGAGCTGAAACATGCAGCTAACGCTGGTAGGTGTCTGCATTATTCATAAACTTTTATGCTTGTCTATATTAATGGCACCTCACAAGCTGGTGATTCAGGTCTTGTAAATGCACTGAAACTTCTCGAGACTATCAAAGACAAATATTCTGGTGTGACATATGCGGATTTATTCCAATTGGCTAGTGCTACTGCAATCGAGGTCATTGTTAATAGTGTGAAGTTGATGTGAACACGAAAATTAATTCAGATATTGATTTCTTTGATCGTATTTAGAAACTGATTTCATGTTCAATTTCTTTGAAATTACAGGAGGCTGGCGGCCCCAAAATCCCTATGAAGTATGGAAGAGTAGATACTTCTAGTCCTGATCAATGTCCAGAAGAAGGAAGGCTTCCTGGTAAGATAACATCAGCTTTGTAGACGATGTTGTGTTTGTTATTGTGCTTGAGCACACAGGCGCATAATATTTTTCTCTTCAGCAACTTTAATGCTCAAGCACTCAGACTTTGTGCTCATGCACAAAAGGGAGACTTGCTTGCTCTTTTTCAACTTTCAACACTTCATTTCCTTCACTTGATTTGGACTTCAATGCATGTTTCCTCAAGCTCTCAAAAATTCAAAATTAATAGTCATTTAGCATCATGAGCTCGAATCCCTACAAAGAACAAAAATGCATTAGAACACATCAAGTAATTAGAACTCAAGGATTAACAAGTGCACTTTAGGGGGCTTAAATATAAACATTCAAGCACTTATCAGTTATATACATATACGGCCACCCTTTTTTTTATTTGTGGCCAGATTACCTACAGTAGGATACATAGAAAACAGAACATTCAACTTCCCCCTCTTGCCATATGTCAACTCATTACACAATCAGCTATATGTGGCATGGCTACCAAGGCTAAAGACTAGGAAACTGAATTTGATTTAGAGATTTGGATTCGACCATGTCTTCTGTGGATGAAGCTTATGTGTTGCATGGACTGCATGATATTTGAGTATGGGCTCTACACTACTTCAAGACTAGATTCTGTTTTCATAAACCTACATATAGAGATAGTTGTACCTATTGTGATGCTTCGATTTCTATTATAAAAATGCTTCCAAATAATACCATATAGTTATCTTTCTGAGAATTTCTACAAAAATTATGGATGTTTGGTGGTGCTCCAAGACTTTTTTTTTATCGCCATCTACCCAAGAATAGTGCCTTCTTATGACCAGTACCTACCCACATACTATAGCTTGCTGTTTGATATTGTTGGAGATCAGGTTTCATCTGACTAGGTTTCTATTGATAATGAATGGTGTTAAAAAGTAAAAATTTGAAAAGCCCCACTTTTGGTTTCTTCTGTTCTATTACTGGATGTTTTACTTGGTGATACTTTTTTCTTTCATGATTTCATGGTTCTTCAGATTTAAAGTGATACTTCTTGCCTTGTGATGCTGATTGTAAACTTGGTTCTGCTTCAGTTTTGAGACTAACTTTTAAAGTTGAAACTTCATGTCTAGATGCGGGCCCCCCTAATCCTGCTGCTCATCTGCGAGAGGTTTTCTATAGGATGGGATTGAATGACAAGGTTACAATTATAAAAATATCAATTGATCTTCAGATGTTATGACAATTTCTGTGTTGTGTACTATTGAGCGGGTTGGCTTGCAGGAAATAGTTGCACTCTCGGGTGCGCACACACTGGGAAGGTCCAGACCAGAACGCAGTGGTTGGGGCAAGCCGGAGACAAAGTACACGGTACTTAATCAGCTTTAACTAATGCTGTGCGTGAAAAATAACATGTGATGTAGAGAAACTTAGTTGGAAAGCATCATTACCCAACAGTACATAGCATGTAAATTCTGTCACCATTGTCATAAACTTGTTTAGAATATGCTGTTGTTTTCATAAGCCTGTTTGCAAAATCACATGTGTGACCATTATTCAGTGTTCTCATGGCATTGTTACTGTGTTTTTTAAACCTGGTATAGGTGATGAACCATTGGCTTACTGTTCTGCTTTTTAGTAGGAGGGTAAGCTAGTCTTTTCAATGAGTCAGAAACTGGGGCTGAAAACCTTCGTATGTGGTTAACCATCATAAACATCAATTAATCAGTTGGTTCCATAACTGAAAATGCAAAATGAGTCCTTTTGTTGGCTATTCTGATTTCCTGCATCTCTGAAATATATTTGTTTCTCATCACTGTGGTTTGGTCTGCCTTCTCTACTCCCTAAAGAAAAAAAAACTTCTCCCAGATTTGCACGGATGAATGTTTCCCTTCCAAAAACCCTATTTTAAGGTTATAACCTTGTTGGTTAGATGATAGTTATCTTACATCAACAACTGTAGGCCAACAAAATCAACTTAGCAAAGTCTTGCATCATTTGTTTATGAACAAGATTGCCATGAGGAGCATCATTTTTCTCTTTTTGCTCAATGTTAGCCCATCTTCTGTTAATCATATGGATATGGATTGCTTTATATTCCTTTTTCCCCAACCCTCTTTTTGTTGTAGTTAGGGGTACAACTTGGGCAAGCTCAACTTGAGCAACCCGAGTTCAACTCGAATTTTTTTAGAGTTTGGACAAGATATTTTTGAATTCAGTATGGGCTTGGGCAAAACTTCAAAAGCTCAAATTAAATTTGGGCAGGTTTAGACAAAGATATCAAACAACCCGAGCAACCTGATGCCCGAATTATATATAGATATATAAAAATATTAAATATACATTAAATTATTAGCCATTACATAACATTAAAGTAATTTAGAATCATTAAAGCATATTAAATATATTATATACAAAAATAACGCAAAATCTTACATTTTTTTATTCTCACTCATAAATTGAAAAGACTACCATAGCAGCATTTTTCTTATATTATATAAATTATTTGTTTTGATATTATTAATAATTTACTAAAAAAAATGCAAATAGAGTCTAATTTTAATAAATTAATAATTTAGCTGCAAGAAAAAAACAAAACAAACAAAAACACTGAAATTTATGAACAATTCGTGCAACTTGGTCAATTCGGGTTTAACTCGGGTCCAACATGAGTAGACAATCTCATATTGCAATTTGGGCCTAGGCAAGTCTCTACACAATTTGAGCTGAGTTTGGATAACCTCCCAACCCAACCGAACTCTCCCAAGTTGCACCCCTAGTTGTAGTACCTACAAGTACTGTAACAGTTTCCCTAGAGTTGCAACAATTAGCCTTTATTTTGCATCATAACTACAATAATGTGATAATTTGTATCATTGGCTCATCATGTATGATCATTTTGGAGAATTTGACTGCTATAATTATTTCATCACAGAAAGATGGACCAGGAGCACCAGGAGGACAATCTTGGACAGCGCAATGGCTGAAGTTTGATAATTCCTACTTCAAGGCACACTATTGAAATACTTTGCTTATCATAAAATGAAAAGATGTCGAGTTCTCTTCATTGATTGTGATTGATTGATACAGGATATCAAAGAAAGAATGGATGAAGATTTACTAGTTTTGCCAACCGATGCTGTTCTTTTTGAAGATCCAGCATTTAAGGTGAAAGAGAGTGAGGTTCTACTTTAAGAGAAGTTATCTTACAGATTGTTTCACTATGTATTGATTTAAATTTTATGTATACTGTAGGTTTATGCTGAGAAATATGCTGCAGATCAGGATGAATTTTTCAAGGACTATGCTGAGGCCCATGCCAAACTCAGCAACCTTGGAGCCAAATTTGACCCTCCTGAGGTTTGTTAGCGTTAGCCAAGCATGTTCTTTCTGTTTAGATGATAGTTGTCTCTGATTTAGGATTTATATTATGGTTTTCAAAAAGAAATATTATATTGTTTCTTCTATTCAAATAAATGGCAGGTACATAGTTTCTTCTGGTAACACAAATAATTTTTGTCAGTGTGTGTTTATATACATTCTAAGGAGTTCATTAAATTAAACATATAAAAGAATCAAAAAACATTTAGAAATGTCTGAAATAACTTTAAAATGATGAAGGTTTGCCCTTTTTTTTGCCCTTAACATGCATATGTCTTCTCCATATATGTACTATTTAACATGTCTTTTACAATTTCCTAATTTCTTCTTGATTGTTGTTTTGGTTTCATTTTGATCAATAATTTCCATATTGATTTCTAAATTCCAATAGGTTATAAGAAATAAAATGATTTGTAAATTCTTCACTAAGTTGATTTGTTAATTTGGTGATCAGGGTATTTCAATAGATGATGGCCCTGCGACAGCTGCACCAGAGAAGTTTGTTGCCGCCAAGTACTCATCTGGAAAGGTTGTAATCGTATATAGCTGTTATAATATTGTTTTAGTCGGTGGTTATGGAAATTGTCTTGCATTATTCTGCCTGAAATATTCACATGAAGGAAATTTACATGTATCTGCAAAGAGTTTAAATAGTTTACTTTTCATGGTTCCTGCAGGATTAAAATACCAGTATCTTGTTTTCTAGTGCCGTTTCTTTTAATAACACAAGATGAAGCTATTGTCAAACCCTGTGAACTCACATCTAAAACTTGGAAGTCTAAATGAAGGAGAGGAATAAATTCAATAGTGTTGTTGCCTATTTGAATTGCAGAGAGAACTATCGGACTCTATGAAGCAAAAGATTCGAGCAGAGTATGAAGCCATTGGGGGAAGCCCAGATAAGCCTCTCCAGTCAAACTATTTCCTTAATATTATCATTGTGATTGCGGTTTTGGCAATTTTGACATCTCTGTTTGGGAACTAATTTGGTCTTTTTGGGTATATTTTGTAGAAAGTGCATTGCTGATGCTTTGGCTCATATAGCATTGTGTTAAGAGTAGTTTATGGTGCATTTGACATATCATGGTTACTTTGAAGTGCATTTGCTATCATTTTCGAAAACTGTTCTATGTTCTAAAAAAACCGGAAAAAAAAAAAAACAGGTATTCACAAAATTTACGAAAATTGTTTTCAAGAGAATTTTGTTAACACCTCAATTTTTTAAGAAACACTTCTTTTTTTAAAGTTTTCTGAAATTTTTAAAACTATTTTTGTACTAAAATGATAGCAATGGAGGCTTTCAAACATTTTGTTGTTTTTGTTTTCGAAAACATGAAAAACAAAAAATGTCGAAAATCAGAACTATATTAATCAGACCCAAACATATCTTTAAGGAAGTTTGGCTGGTTAGTAGGGGTGTTCGCAGTTCGGTTGCGGTCAGGGAACTTTTAATTCGCCATCTGTCCACCTGATGGGCAGATTGGAAAAAAATTAATCCGTATCCGTTCGCCGAATTGACGGATGCGGATTGGCGGATGGATGCAAATCGGTTTGGCGGTTTAAATTTTTATAAATTTTAAACATAATACAACAATTTGTCAATAAATTTTTTTTTGGATAATAATCCAACTCAACATAACCAAAAGATTATTAAGTAAATTGCCAAATATTAATAATAAATACATATAAGAAAATCATACATTATCAAAATTATTTCATTATTTTTTTCTATTCAAAAATTATTTAATTTGATTTTTTTTTTAAATGATAAATTAAGCCCTATATTTTTTATACAAAAATACCAAATATCAACTCGTCATTTGATAAAAGGATTTTTAAATTGAAAACATAATAGAATATTTACATTCTTTTTCAATTGAAAACACAAATAGAATATCTAAACAAATTGAAAATACAAAATCTTACAAATTGTTAGGGGTGTTTGCTGTTTGGTAGTTTGGTTGCGGTCAAAGGAAATTCAAATTTGCCATCCGTTCAAAATTAGGTAGATTGGAAAAAAGCAATCTGTAATCGTCTATTTGTCATCACGCATCCGTCTAAAATGTGACAGATCGGTTCGATTCGATCAACTTAAACGAATCAGAATATCCATTATTCACCCTTATTGTCAATCCCAACTTCTAAACTTAGGTCATATTTGTTAGAGAAAATATGCGATTCCCCACAAGTAAATCAATCAATCAATGGGAATAAAAACTAATGCGGAAAAATTAAATCAAAAGCAACATAAGAATTTTACGTGGTTCCCTCAATGTGATGTACGTCTACGGGATCGAAATTCGATTCCACTATCAACCAAATAGTTTCCAAACGATTACAAACGAGACACGAACGGTCTCACAAACCACCCTTAGGTGAATTCTAAATAATCACAAATAAATAAGAGAAAAGACCTCACCAAATAGATGAACAAAAATCTTCAGAACCAAAATTGTAGAAGATCTCAATGTGATGTACGTCTACGGGATCGAAATCCGATTCCACTATCAACCAAATAGTTTTCAAATGATTACAAACGAGACACGAACGGTCTCACAAACCACCCTTAAGTGAATTCTAAATAATCACAAATAAATAAGAAAAAAGACCTCACCAAATAGATGAACAAAAATCTTCAGAACCAAAATTGTAGAAGATCCAAAATAACAAACCAAATCAACACCGAAAATGAAGCAAAGAACCAGCCCAATTAATTCCACTTTTCACACACCCAAATAATTGATTCCACCAAAGTGGAGTGTGTGGAGCAACCGTTCTCCACTTCGGGATGAGCAAAAACAATACCTAAAATATTGTGAATCTAGGGTTTATTATCAAAACCTTAGTTGTTTCCAAACTGAATTGGGTCTCCACCAAATTAAATATAATACATAAAAATATATAATACCAAACCAAATTAAAACTCTTTTAATAAACCATTGGATCCCACACTCCAATAAGGAGGTATACCCAACAATTCTCCCCTTACCGACTTAGGAGGAGATATCAACCATACCCGCCAAAGTTCGACACTTCAAATGTTTGTCCCTCGACAAACTCTTAGTCAACATATCTGAAATATTTTCATCCGTGTGAACCTTTTCGAGTTGCAATAATTTCGAATCTAACACATCACAAATCCAATGGTATCTCACATCAATTTGTTTCGCTCTCGAATGAAAAGTAAAATTTTTACTCAAATGAATAGCACTTTAACTATCACAATAAAGCATATACTTTTCTTGCTTTAAACCCAACTCTTACAAAAATTTCTTCAATCATAACTCTTCTTTACAAGCTTCCGTAATGGCAATAAATTCAGCTTCGGTAGTTGAGAGAGCAACACATTTGTGTAATTTAGATTGCCATGCCACAGCTCCTCTTGCAAAAGTCATCAAATGCCCCCGAAGTAGATTTTCTAGAATCAATATCACCGGCCATGTCAAAATCTGTGAACTCATCAAGTATCGGCTTACCATCCCTAAAACACAAGCACACCTTCGAAGTCCCTCGAAGATACCTTAGAATCCATTTTACCGCTGCCCAATGTTCTTTACCCGGATTAGAGAGAAAACGACTCACCACACCAACGGCGTGAGCAACATCCGGCCTTGTACAAACCGTGGCGTACATCAAAAAACCAACTGCTGAAGCATAAGGAACTTTCAGCATCTCTTCCTTGTCTTTCTCACTTGTAGGATATTTATTCAAACTAAGCTTGAAGTGACCCGCAAGTGGACAACCAACTGGCTTTGCTTTATTCATGTTGAACCTCTCAAGAACTTTCTCAATGTAGCTTTCTTGAGACAACCAAATCAGCCCCTCTTTGCGATCACGAACAATTTTCATACCAATAAGCTAGTTATTTGTTTTGTCGGTCCCAAATCTTTCATAGCAAAAGACTTGCTCAACTTCAATTTCAACCTGTTATCATGGTAGAATCTTGACCACCAATTAACATGTCATCAACATAAAGTAAAAGAATAATAAATTTGCCATCCGAAAATTTTTTCACAAATACACAATGGTCCGAAGTGGTTTTAGAAAAATCATTATTCATCATGAAAAAGTCAAATTTTTTGTACCTTGCCGCAGGGTTTTGCTTGAGGCCATACAAATTTTCCTTCAATTTGTAAACAAATTTCTCTTTCCCTTTCTCCACAAAACCTTATGGTTGCTCCATGTAAATTTCTTCTTCAAGATCACCATGAAGAAATGCGGTCTTCACATCAAGTTGCTCAATTTCAAGGTTCATACTTGCAGCCATGCCAAGTACAACCCGAATAGAAGACATCTTCACAACTGGCGAGAAAATCTCATCAAAGTCAATACCTTTCTTTTGCCCAAAGCCTTTCACAACAAGACGTGTCTTGTACCTCAGATTCTTGCCATCATTCTTCAATTTGAAGACTCACTTATTTTTTCAGAATTTTCCTCCCTTTAGGCAACTTCACTAAATCATAAGTCTGGTTTTCAAGCAAGGAATTCATCTCCTCGTCCATGACCTTTTTTCAATCACCTTTCTTTGCATGCTCAATTGCTTCTTGGTAACTCTCGGGCTCCCCTTGATCGGAAATCAACACAAATTCATTGGGAGGATACTTTCTTGAAGGTTGTCGGTCCCTTGTAGATTTCCTTAACTTAAGTTGTGGTAGCGGTTCTTGAGTTGGATGCTCTTCCTCAATTTCTGGCTCAACTTCATTAGGATTAGCATCATCTTCCACATCTTCAATAGGTGGCTACATATCTTCCCCATTTTCATCAACAATTGAAAATGAAGGAGATGGATCCATGTCAATGAGATCAATAGTTTTTTGGCTCCGGTTGATTACCTTTGCCAAAGTCTTCAATTGTTTGGTCTTCAAGAAACACCAACATTTTAATCTTCCTCTCCTTTTGG